TGGTTTGCAAGAGAATTCATATATAAACCATTGCAGATAAGGCATTAAAGCAATCTTAACTCTTTCCCCGCCATTGACGGAATGTTCCGGCTTTCCTTGTTTTCACTGTAATACGGTAGGGGTCGCTATTACGCAACTTCTGAAAGAGTGCTGAATCTCCTGATCAAAACACGTGCGAGGAAGATGCAGAAACAAGCGATCTCATATGTAATCATATGCATATGTAAAATAAAACGATCATCAACATTAAACGGCATATAAATCAAAACCGCTTTATGTTACTGAATGAAATGTCGACCCAGGACAAACTGGGACTGTGAAGCTTTAGGGGTGTTCATGGACTCGATCTACTCGTTTTGATCATATTCTGAATAGTCTTTGACAAAAACGTGATTTTTTTTCTCAGCTTTTTGCTTAAAATTCTACTTTTATTTTGAAATTTACCCATATTCAAGTGTTGATAAAAAAAAAGAATGCATTATGTTAGAATAATTAAATAAATTAAAAACTATATACTGTATATATTATTTTTCTAAATCAGAGGGTCTGTTCTTTCTTTTGATATATTGAATGCTCAGACATTATATTCTGGGGGCCATGAAACTTGTGGAAATGATCAAAAACGCTGGCAGGGAAAGAGTTAAAGATTTTTATTTACGATTTAAAAAAAATGATTTTTTATTACTTTCTTATTTCTCAATTATTTAAATGTCTGTGTTTGCTGTCTGATGACAGAATTGATCTGTTCTTGATGTTGTCTTGTTTTACAGAGGGGCCATGTTTGGTGCACACCATCACAGGAGATTTACTGCGGGCCCTGGAGGGCCCCGAGAACTGCCTCCAGCCCCGCCTGATCTCTGTGTCCAGTGAGGGCCACTGTATCATCTACTATGAGAGAGGACACTTCTGTAACTTCAGCATTAATGGAAAACTCCTGGCCCAGATGGAGATCAATGACTCCACACGCGTAAGAGGAGACGCACACGTTTGAACAGAAACAAATACACGTTCACATGAAACAGTCTCCATATTTATCTTCACTTTATTTCCCCTCAGGCCATTCTGTTGAGCAGTGACGGTCAGAACTTGGTAACAGGAGGTGATAACGGTGTTGTTGAAGTCTGGCAGGCCTGTGACTTTAAGCAGCTGTATATTTACCCCGGATGTGATGCAGGCATCAGGGCTATGGACCTGTCCCATGACCAGAGGTGAGCATTCCTCAACTATGGGGATTAGGTCATTTGAACTATCTAGTGCTTTTATTATATACATAACATTCATGATAGATTTACTTATGTATGTTATGGAAATGTATCATTTGAATGAATGTATGTTATATATATATTTGCAGGACTTTGATCACTGGGATGGCGTCGGGCAGCATTGTGGCGTTTAACATTGATTTCAATCGATGGCACTACGAACATCAGAACAGATACTGAGACAGAGACAGGAGGAGAGAGGGACCTTGTTTAGGGCTCGCAGATGAAGCAGTGAGAAGGGTCGAGTTCATATCCTGCTAGACAGTTGATGGTGTGTCCCTGTAAGTCCCGGGTGGAGTCAAACCCAGATGAAAACACAAGACATATCTCTAACGTTACTTAGACCTTTAGGGTTGTCCTTCACTCCCCACATACCATGACGAGTTGCCTAAAGTCCTTTTGTCTGCAAAGATCATCGTACAGGATCGTAGCCGAGAGGACGGCAGGACTGGATGGACTGTAGCGCAGTTCCCAGCAGGGGAGGGTTGAGGGAGGGAGGGAGGGGTTCTGGGGTGAGATTAAGACGCAACGGTGAACTTAATCTTTGTAAATACGAACTGCAACGGCGCAGTTCTTCACTGCAAGGGGATAAAAATCATACTTCCCGCTCGCTCTACATTACGGAAGATCCCATCACCTTTAATTTATTAATGACTTGCTGTAAGATATTGTGTAGTTCCAACGAAATGATGATGAAGGCCTGCCGATTCACAGGGAGGAAGTGAACTGATCTGACGGGAAACAAGCTTCTCTTTCCTCTTTGTATATTTGGTAATTGTTTTGTCATATATGTAAATATTGTGATGGTTAGGAAAGCCAGGCATGTAAGCGGGCCATAAAAAAGAAAACAAAGAGGAGAAAAAAAGCAACAAAAAAAGAAAAAGAAACCCTCCCTCACTCACACGTTTCATTATTTATGAGAGAAAAAAAATATTAATGTTAAAGTTTTTGTATCAGACACTTTGCACCGGTAACATCCCATAATTTATCGACGTGTTAGGATTTTTTTGTTTGTTTACTGCCATATTTAAGCCCATTCTCCATTGTATAATTTGTGCATTGATGTTTGTTGTATTTAAATAATTAATATTATAATCATATGTGATGATTACGTTGTACAACCACAGCCACAGTAAGCAATATCCTTGTAGCCAAGAGTGACTGCAGAAACGCAGTTTAATACGTGGATTAAGATATTTGAAATCCGCACACACGCATACTGAGACTTTTTTTTTCCCATCCCCCTCCTAAAAAGTGTGAGAGAAAAGAGTGAGAAGGATATTTTTTCAATCAGCAACACTATGATAGTCGGTTTACTACAGAGGTGCAATTACTAGTCAGCTGGAAGCTTCAGTGGAATTCAGAAATGAACAAATTATGCAAAGAATTTGTTGCTCTGCCTTGGCATTGGCCATTGGATGTGAATATAGATGAGACAGAGGCGCATACGGTAAATAACATGCAGGTCTGTCTCAGTCTAGGTGAGTGGTCAGTACTGTATATTTGATTTGATTTGTACATTTGCTAAATATCTTTTGTTAATTTATTTTGCAAGATGTAGTTGATCATGATGATTGCATATAATTTTAATTTATTACTTTATTTTATTTGTCTGCATCGTTTGTGGAAAGGAGAGGAATAGTTTATTGGCAGGAAGTAAATGGTGGATGATTTATTTGATTGATTCAGATGTAATTTTTAAATTCAGTCCCCACCTGCTGTTTCATGCATTTGCTGCAACTTGAATAAGCCAGAATCTCACAGGTGTCTCTTAAAATGTTTAAATATTAATTCATGCCAATATATAGATCAATAACTGTAAAATAAAATTGTTTCCTTTTTGTCGTATTTACAATAAAACAAGCCAAAACATCTTTTTGAGGTATTCGTATTTTTTTTCTTTAAACATTTGACAGTCATGAATTATTCAGTGGTCACATACTCTTGTTTTTTTTTGTTTTTTTTGATGGATGCGTTCAAAATGTCCGAAAAGAATACATACACATGCACAGATTGTTTATCTTTAATGGCATTTTAATAGTGATAATATCGATTACTGTTTGTTTTGTTTGCTTAACCAGCTTTATCATCATCATTAATCCGTGTTCTTATTTGGTCAAATATATTTTATTGTTAAAATAAAACGTTATAATCAAAAGCTTATTTGTTAAAAAATGAGGAAATATTTGTTTTAAAACTTTTGTTTATCATTTTACATTAGTTCAAATATATATTTTTTTATCAAGTTGGTAGGCTACATATCAACCACTCAGCCTTTGACATTACAATTATTTGTATGAAATTAAATTACAGACAGGGGAAATGTAAAACAATGCACGAGAACAGCACTGTCCAAGTGAAAAAACAGAAATAAGCTTTATATATTTCTTTTTCATTGCAAGTCATGGTCAGTGAAAATGTAACGCTGTTGTTGCCTGAGAGAGAGGGTAAAGTGATACACGTTATCAGTTCATTTCCAAATATCTCTGTCTTTGAAAAAAACAACAACTGTGGTTTGTTTGTGAATATGCGTTAGGTTTACATTAGAGATAATTTAAAATAAGTTATTTGTGTGATAATGATTCATGTAGATCTGATCTGATGCGTTTTTGAAAACTCTTGCTACTTCATACTTGAAAACAGTGCTGAACTTTGACAAAAAGTGATTTATAAAAGACGTCAGAAGGTTAAATGGGGTGTTATACAACACTTTTAGTTTTTTTTTTTAAGTTTTTTTTTTTTTGCTATGGTAGTGAAAATGGGGGGAGAGAGGTCGCATTATATCCAGCTATAATTTAATAATTACAGAGACTAAGTTATTGAATAATTAAAGCAAAACAAAGTGGAGAAACAGTACAGCTATTTGCTCTATAAACCAGTGTGTTTACAGTTACGGACAATATATTAAAATAGTATGTAAAAAAAAAAAAAAAACATTTTGCAATATAAGCAGCATAACCATAGACAGTATAAGAGAGCATAACAAGCTTTTTGTAAAGCTAAAAATAATTGGAAGCGGATGAGTAGTCAGACACATTTAATTTACCAATGGCCGCCCCGGCGCTTAAAAAACAAAGGTTAAAAAATGTTTTTAAAAATTACAGTGGATAGGGAGAATGTATTCTCATATTACTTTGTTGTGTTTCTGAACCTGGCGGACTCTATTGGCCCCTAGTGGTGAGGAGACGGCAGGGCTGGAGGTCACCGTGAAATAAAGTAATAAATGGATAGACGGGGTCAACCAAGTGTCAATACACAACAACGAAATGAGGTTAAATTGTATTTTTTAATAAGATAATGTCTCAAATTATAATGTAAGAGCCACTCTGTATTCCATGCACTAATGAAAGAATACAATAACACCGTAAGCAGGGCTATGAGTTACTAGAACACCTCTTACAGCACTTCAGGAACACTCGACCCTAATCTGACCTCCTGACTCATTACACAGCACCACTGAATAAATGTCCTCCATTAATGAAATGGAATTAATCAGAACGAACCGGCATTTGTATTTCCAAGAGCTGACCCTGTATCGGAATGTTGCTTATGTCTTTCCCACAATGCATTTGTGCTTATGTTCCATATACTTAAAAACTGCAAAAATGGTTAAATGTGACTTACATTGTCTAGATAAGATAAAGAAATATATTGTCAATATCAAAATAATTGAAATTATATTATTTACACTGATTACAAAACAAGGTCCCCATCTCACGTATGAACAAGTGCTGTGCGTCAAGTACTGTAACCACTAAGGGAAGGAAGTCCAGGTATCGGCAATTCAAATCCTTTTCAGTCTGCTTCGAAAGGTTTTTGGGAACACGGGATACTAATTACCAGGAATGCCAATAGCTAATCAGTTACATTGTCCTTACAGTTTCCTTCTGGACCAATAAAAACATCACATTTCTAAGGTGCTTCAACAGAAAAAGAGGACATTATTTAACTTGAATAAAAAAGAATATGTTTTCAATATGTATAAATAAATGAAAAGGTTATTATAATGACCATAAATAAACAAGAAACCCTTCTTGACGGTCATCATGTTCCCTGCACCTTTATGTGATCAGATTACAAAATGGTTCAGTTCAGTTCATCGGTCCACTCGGCCGCGTTCCGAATCCTCATAAACCCTTCTCCTCTTTTAGTGCCCTTCCACTCGCTCTCTTTCCTTTCAACGCTAGAAAGGGGAGAAGAGGGAGCGAACAGTCTCCGTGGAGCAGGCGGAAAAGTCTTCAGACTCGGGCGTGGTGGAGGAGGTGGTGGTGGTGTTGGTGGTGGCGGTGCTGGGAGAGGGACATGGACTGGGGGACGTGGGGTCGAGGTGCAGACCGGGGCACAGACGAGGCGTAAAGGCTGGGATGTGGAGGCTACAGGTCGGCTGGGTGGTCCAGGGAGCTGCGCTCACATTCGGGTGGCGTCCTCGTCTGAGAATCTGCCTCTCCTTATCAAGAGCGGTGGTCTGATGGAGGAAATGGGGAACTTTAGTCTTAATTACAACAGATTTTGCCATGTCGTTCTAATTGTGCATTATGTCCGTCAGTTAAAACACTTACCCCCGGTTTCACAGACAAGGTTTAAGCTAGTCCCAGACTAAAATGCATGTTTCAAACTTGCACTGACATGTCAGAAAACATGTCAGTGCCGTTGTTTTGTCTAAATATGAACACCAGTAATGTGTTTTTTTTTCCCCAGGCACGTTTATAAAACTTACTTAAATGTCCTAATTGAACTAAGACTTAATATAAGTCCTGTCTGTGAAACCAGGCCTAAAGATCTTAGACAGAATGTCTAAACTCAAAGACAGTGGATGGTTGTCAAAGCTTGGACATTCTGTTTGGACATTATGTCTGTAGACATTATATATACATTGGAATAATATGAGGGTGAAAAAATCTTTAAAAAAAATTTGGGGGGGGTGAACTATCCCTTTAATTATTTTTTATTTTTTATTATTATTAAAAAATATATATTAATAATGTACAAATTAAATGTAAATACACTGTTGTTCAAAAGGCTGGTGTCAGTAAGACTGTTTAAATGTTTTTGAAAAAGGTATTTTATGCTCACCATGGCTGCATTTATTTAATTAAAATACAGTAATATTGTGAAATATTATTACAATTTAAAAGAACTGTTTTGATATATTTAAAAAAATTATTTATTCTGAAAAAGCTGATTTTTCAGCAGCCATTACTCGCCTTCAGTGTCACATGATTCTTCAGAAATCATTTTATTATGCTGATTTACTGCTACAAAATTCGAATTGCCTTGATTGAAACATTGTCCCCTTATTATGTCTGACCCTTTGTATGAGGAATATCAACTTTTGCCATCAAATAGAAGACTAGCATATGCTAGAATGAACAGATTACTGAAATATTTTGTTCATCAATTTTTGAAAGAGATTCCAACAATAAAGTAAAATTGAAATTTGCATCCTTGCTAAATATAAAAATATTAATTTCAAAAAAAACCTTATTGACCCTAAACTTGTGAACAGTAGAGTACATTTAATATTAATACATACATGTCATAAATATATTAAAAGTGAATTTCTACTAACAAAATAAACATTGTGGGCAACAGCGGGACTGGTTGCTGAGTACATATTTTTCTGCACAAGGTTGAAGATCATGAGAAGCTGGTTAGAAGCAGGACAGTGACACAAGCAGCACACTCGGGTGAAGAGCACATAAAAATGTCAATTGCCATGATGTTGAAGCAAATCATGCACATTCTGAACTGAGAACGTTCACACACATGGGCTGAATGACTGTAGATGGCCAGAGCGCAGCAGCCATCTTTGATCATGACACGAGCAGGATTCACTGGGGTTCAACAAGACAGGGGCTGGCGTGCTACAGCGGACACATGGCGTTACCTTATCCAAAACATGCCCGGGTTCTGATAGAAATCCAACGACCCTGATCTCTGGATGGAAAAGTCATGGTCGAGCTAAGCGAAGAAAAATCAGTGGAGCTCAGATAACATTATAGACACACTCAAATCATCAGCTGTAGTCTATTTCAACTGTTAGTAAAGTACATCATTTGTAAGCTAATAGTGTTTGAATTTTTTGCCTCGGCTGTCCATCACACATTGTGTCTTGTCTTTAATGTTTATTCTGCGTCTGGTGTGAGTGTGTTCTTACCGTCATGACAGACACTCCTGGGGTGTTGTTGCTGGCCTTGGGCCCAGTGTTAAAGTGCTTCTTGATCTTTCCTGCCACTGACAGCTGGTGCTCGTTCTCTGACAGACCGTCATTCTGAAACAGCCATTGATCCGATCAGTTACTGTAGTTATTAAACAAGAGGACTACATGTGTTAAGACTGTGTCTGTTAAAAGTTTATCAATAAAGGTTCATACATACAGATGAGTTTAATCTGAATTACTCACAGTGACCCAGGGGTGTTCCAGCACCTGCAGCGCTGTGTATCTCTGATCCACTTCCACCTGCAGCATCGACACGATCAGCTCCTGAGGACACGGATGGGACACAGAGTTACTGCCAAACCCCCAATGCCAACAAATACATATTGATGTCCAATTTGAGACTCATGACCTTCAATTGGTGAACACAAAGACCACATTAAACAAGTTATTATTACAATTATTAATAACTAGTGCAATGCCATTGCAAAATCAGTTTTTGTGTGTTTTTAGTAATTGTTGGTTTGGTATGTTTGAGTTGCTGAATAGCATAGGCTACTATTACACAGTATATTAATACTATTACACGTAATAATTTTTTTTAAAGAATCGCTACTTTTTTCAAAAAGAATAATGTAACAGAATAATAATGTAACAAATGTAAAATAATAATAATGTAACAAATGTATAATAACAAAATAATAATGTAACAAATGTATAATAACAAAATAATAATGTAACAAATGTATAATAATAATAATGTACTAAATGTATAATAACACTGTAATAAATGTATAATTACATTGTAATAAACGTATAATTACATTGTAATAAATGTATAAGAAGACTGTAACAAATGTATAATTACATTTTTTACACTACCTTTTTCAAAAGAATCGCTACTTTCAAAAATCGCAATTTTTTCCAAAAGAATCGCTATTTTTTTCAAAAAGAATAATGTAACAAAATAATAATGTAACAAATGTATAATAATAATGTAACAAATGTATAATAACACTAATAAATGTATAATTACATTGTAATAAATGTATAATAACACTGTAATATATATTGTAATTAACGTATAATTACATTGTAATAAATGTATAAGACTGTAACAAATGTATAATTAAATTTTTTACACTACTTTTTCCAAAAAGAATCGCTACTTTTTCCAAAAAGAATCGCTACTTTTTCCAAAAAGTATCGCTACTTTTTCAAAAAAGAATCGCTACTTTTTAAAACAGAAACGCTACTTTAAAAGAATCGTTACTTTTTCAAAAAAGAATCGTTACTTTTTCAAAAAAGAATCGCTACTTTTTCAAAAAAGAATCGCTACTTTTTACAAATAGAATCGCTACTTTTTTCAAAAAGAGTAATGTAAGAAAATATTAATGTAACAAATGTATAATAATAATGTAAGAAATGTATAACACTGTAATAAATGTATAATTACATTGTAATAAACGTAGTTACATTGTAATAAACGTATAATAACACTATAATGTATAATTACATTGTAATAAATGTATAATTACATTGTAATAAATGTATAATAACACTGTAATAAATATATAATAACACTGTAATGTATAATTACATTGTAATAAATGTATAATAACACTGTAATAAATGTATAGTTACATTGTAATAAACGTAGTTACATTGTAATAAACGTATAATAACACTATAATGTATAATTACATTGTAATAAATGTATAATTACATTGTAATAAATGTATAATAACACTGTAATAAATATATAATAACACTGTAATGTATAATTACATTGTAATAAATGTATAATAACACTGTAATAAATGTATAATTACATTGTAATAAATGTATAACAACACTGTAATAAGCGTATAATTACATTGTAATAAATGTATAAGACAGTAAAAAAATTATAATTACATTTTTTACACAACTTTTTTCAAAAAGAATCGCTACTTTTTCAAAAAGAATCACTACTTTTTCAAAAAAGAATCGCTACTTTTTCAAAAAGAATCGCTACCTTTCCCAAAAGAATCGCAACTTTTTCAAAAAAGAATCGCTACTTTTTCAAAAAGAATCGCAACTTTTTCCAAATAGAATCGCTACTTTTTACAAAAAGAATAATGTAACAAAATAATAATCTAACAAATGTATAATAACACTGTAATAAATGTATAGTTACATTGTAATAAACGTATAATAACACTATAATGTATAATTACATTGTAATGTATAATAACACTGTAATAAATGTATAATTACATTGTAATAAATGTATAATAACACTGTAATGTATAATTACATTGTAATAAATGTATAATAATTACATTGTAATAAAATGTATAATTACATTGTAATAAATGTATAATTACATTGTAATAAATGTATAACAACACTGTAATAAGTGTATAATTACATTGTAATAAATGTATAACAACACTGTAATAAGCGTATAATTACATTGTAATAAATGTATAAGACTGTAACAAATGTATAATTACATTTTTTACACTACTTTTTAAAAAAAGAATTGCTACTTTTTCAAAAAGAATCGCTACTTTTTTCAAAAAGAATAATGTAACAAAATAATGTAACAAATGTATAATAATAATAATAATAATAATGTAACAAATGTATAATAACACTGTAATAAATGTATAATTACATTTTAATAAACATATAATAAAACTGTAATGTATAATTACATTGTAATAAATGTATAATTACATTGTAATGAATGTATAACAACACTGTAATAAATGTATAAGTACATTGGCCCTCATTTATCATTCTTGCGTAGAAACGGGCGTATATGTTGGCGTAAGATTATGCTTACACTCCTCTCACCGCCTGATTTATGAAGCTGTGCGTACCTTTGAAATCCAGGTGTACGCAATGCCTGCCCTTGATAAATCCCGCGGCTGAAAACGATCGTCATTAGAATAACACGCCCCTATATATTCAAGTCTCCGCTTCCCCCACGCCCTCATTTTACGCCATGGACACACGGAAGACGGCAAAGAAGAGAAACTTCTCTGACGTGGAGCCGAAATGACCTATCACAATGCAATATTTTACAGCACGTCTTTTGAATTAGCATTCAATTTCGAATCACGTTACATGTATGGGGTGTACAATAGTGATGATGATGATGATGATGTGATGTGGAGTACCATTCATTCACATTAATAATTGCATGACAATTTGTAATATTATTCTTAGTATTATTAGTATGCTTTGTATTATTAATGACGCTTATTGTTATTTAGAAGAAGAATGTCATTATTATTATTTGTATTATTATTATTATTTAAAAGAAGAAGAATGTTTTTTTTATTATTTTGTCAGTCTGAATTATTTTTTGGTCATTGAAAGCCTTTCGTTACCGAACTCAGTCCGTGCGCACCTGCCGGGCCTAACCATGAAACGTCAGGGTAAAGCGCACAGGCTCGCAACTGAAGGAATACATATGCTTATAAATCAAATGCTTTGGTAAAGTCACACAAATTAAACATTGAAGTCCATGTTGCACAAAAATAAACACTGAAGTTTATAATTACTGTTGTTGTTGTTGTTGGTCATATATCAATATATCATATCTTTTAGTTATGTCAGTTTGAGCAGTTGATCAGTTAGTTTGTCAGTGCGTTTTGTGGTGTTAGGAATTGTTTTTCTGCGCATTTCCGCACTAACTCAAAACGTGCGTACACCACCTCCTGAGCTGGCGTAGGATTTGAGCGTGCCGTACGCCAACGTTCATATTGATAAATCTCAAAGTCACCGTGGGTTTGGGTGTACGCCAGGTGTACGCTGGAAATTTGGTGTACGCACTTTTGATAAATGAGGGCCATTGTGATGTATAATAACAACCTTGAAAAGAATCGCTACATTTCTCGAAAAGAATCGATACTTTTTTTACTTCAGAAGTAAACAGTGTAACGTTAGCTGACTTAATGTTTAGCTGACAGAAAGTTTATTTTTAAACCACAATTTTTAAACCCCAACCCTCTCTAATGTCAGAATGTTTATTTTTACTTCAATGTGTGCTTCTTTTACAGATATATTTAACGATATCTATTGCATTTATAATCCAAACAATGTCAAACTCGGCACTGCACTTACTCGTGCCCGCAGCAAGACACCTGTCAAGTTTGAAATCCATCGGACAAACGGTCCTGTAATTTATAGATAGATAATAATATGTGGGATTTTTAAAACATTTTGTTTATCACATTATTTTGCTTTAAAAAGCTCATATATTATTTATTATCATATTATTTTGCTTTTTGTTATTATCATATTATTTTACTTTTCAAAAACCCACATATTATTTGTTATCATATTATTTTGCTTTTAAAAACACCCACATATTACTTATCATATTATTTTGCTTTTAAAAAGTCCACATATTACTTATTATCATATTATTTTAGTTTTAAAAATACCCACATATTATTTATTATCATATTATTTTGCTCTTAAAAATTCCCACATATTATCATATTATTTTGCTCTTATAATACCCACATATTACCATATTATTTTATTATTTTGCTTTTAAAAATACCCACATATTATTAATCATATTATTTTGCTTTTTAAAAAAATATTTTCATATCAAATTATGTTGCTTTTAAAAAACCCACATATTATTTATTATCATATTATTTTGCTTTTACAAAGCCCACATATTTATTATCATATTATTTTGCTTTTAAAAAGCCCACATATTATTTATTAACATATTAATTTGCTTCCAACAAGCCCATATATTATTTATTATCATATTATTTTACTTAAAAACACATATTATTTATCCTATTATTTAGCTTTTTTTTTTTAATGTAGCTTTAAAAAAACAATATTATTTATTGAAATGTTATTTGCCTTTTGAAAAATCCACTAATAATGATTTATTCCAAACAAACTCCACTTACTTTGGCTGAGTCGGATACATTGTCCCAGTACGGGAGAGGGAATTCTAACTGTCCCAGCAGTATCTGGTCAAACAGAGCTTCTTGATCATCAGTGCTCCTGAAATAGGGAATGCGACTTCAAATATACATCAACAGGGGGAGCTCGATGCATTTGGTTCATGGATAGTACCACAGATAACCACAGGGAGGCGCAATACCATCTTACATAACCTTACAGCTTTGATTACATTACTCAAAGTGCACTACATACCACCAAGAATGTATTTAACAATGAATCTTTGACATCTACTGATAAATTCACCGTTTTGATGGCAATTACAGGATTTTTTTTAAACAACTTCGAAAAACATAAAAACATTAAAAATATAAAAAATTATAATCTCACATAAACCTAAGCCACATTTTCTCATACACACTGAACTTACCCACGAAATGGAGGAAAGCCACAGAGGAGAATATATGTGATGACTCCAGCGGCCCAGATGTCTACCTTAAGGCCATACCTACAAACAGAGTCTTGTTTTAGTTTTATTGCTCTATACTTAATACTTTTCAGCTTTATAATTCTAAATAATATGATCATAACAATCACAACAGTATGCATCACACGAGTCCATGAAAATATCACACATTCAATGACCCAGATTTGTGCAAACATGCTAAAATATTCACCCGGTCTCTGCGATAATCTCTGGTGCTACATATGTGGGTGTTCCACAGACAGTGTACAGGGGTCCGTCTACCACGGTGGCCAAGCCAAAGTCTCCCAGCTTCAGCGATTTGCTTCCGTCTTGATGCTCGTACACCTGTGAATCAAAGCGAAGAACGATATTAGAGCTGGGAGCAAAATCAACCTAGATCCTTCAAAGCAATCTTTGAGAATGACATATCCGGCTCTCAAAAATCCCAAGGTGAGCAAATGTGCAGATCAGTGTCAAAAATATGCACCCGCTCGCTTCAAATAAACAGATATTTGTGCATGTAATGTCTTTAACCTAAATTCCACTGATGCTAAAAAGGAGCTGAATCCATTGAGCATCCTAAGATTGGCTGTCTTTGTGTTTGTTGTTATATAATATGTAAAGTGATGCATTATGAAAAAACCTCATTCTGCATTGCTAGGTGCATTTACATGTATGCTTCCAGCCACAAGCGATTACCTTCGACACACTGAGACTGAGTGAGCGCATATGTGAGCCAGTGCACGGCTCTTTCTAGCTCACTGGAGTGCATTTGAGGAACAGAGGGTCTTATTTACTGCTACCAGATCACATTTCATTTGTAAGATCCACAGCATTTATAGACAAATTCCAGAGCTCATAAACAGGGCTTAAGGCAAGACACTAATGGTGTTTTAATGCACAGGTCCATTTAGAGATGTTGGCATATTTTGCCTCCATAACTTGTCTTCTTTCTGACCAGTGAAAAAAAAAAAAAAAATACACATTTAAAATTTGATTTTATTACACTCACTATCTATTTGTCCACTCCAAAAATATTACCATTCTCCAATCTATATTCTGAAGGTTTTTACAAGGGGGTTTGTTCATATATACATTCACCTGATTTATATAATATTTTATTCCTAAAAACATTAAGATATTTCTCTGGCTGTTGACAGTATTTTCTGATTTTTTTGGAGTGATAAAAAGAGATGTTCGAAATCTCCACTGTAACTCTACCTTTAACTTAATATGCCAACAAAAACAGAGGAATTTTGAGCCTTGCTTTATCTAAAGTTCAGATTTATGTTCTGGACATTTATGCAAATTAGTGCTTTTTTTTTTTTTAGATAATGCTTCATTTAAATATTTATTCATAACATTTCAGAAAACTTGTAATATAAAACAATTGTTTTAAATGTACTTGAAGTATGGTGGTATCTATTTGTTAAAAGTTTAACCCTATTCACCTGTATCTTGCCTTAAACAACGCTTCCCTCTTAAATCAGTAGAGGAAGTGGGTGCGTATCAGCCATTGATTCATGAATGAGGTCTGGTAAAAGGTTGGTACGAGAGCAGCCTTGGAGAACAGTACAGTCTGTGAACTGTCAAAGTGTGAGTCACATCTCAGTTCTTCCGCTGCAGAAGTGATATCACACGTATGCAGTCAGTCAGTAGGTGGCTGGTCTAGACTCAGTCAAAGAGCTCGCAGCAATCATCACTCTTTCTCCAAACACACTTATATAGTTCCAGCCCACAAGACCTATGAGTTTCATCCGTTCTTTCCTCTACACAACACGTACACAGGAACACACGTTTGTGGAGGCTGGTGATCTTTAGGATGTGACAACAACAGCGCTTGAGAGTTAGACATGAGATATTTTCTCGGGATGTCACTCTCAGAAGTATGTTTTGGAAGGGAAGGATGGATGGAAGGATGGCGTTTTGAAATCTTACCAAAAGGTTCTCTGGCTTGATGTCCCTGTGGACGATGTTAAGGCTGTGTAAGTATTTGATAGCATTGGCTAGGTTGTACAGCATGCCACTGGCGTCCCGCTCAGTGTATCTGTTGGCGGAGGTGATGGCATCAAAAAGATCTCCTCCCTAAAAATAAGAACAAAGAACATAGTAAGAAATTGAACAGTTGTCTTCACTGTAGTAAATATGCATTGATTCGTATTAATGCTACTGAAGTTATTCATCCAAGAGAAGTGAGTATTTTTATTTTTGTAATTTGTTTAATACCGGTATTTATGGCTTAGACCACAGCAGGTATCCCAGACAGCAACATAATGTCGGCCCAGATCCAGCCCACATCCGGCACACTTGTATTCCACACGGTCCAGATGTGGGCTGGATCTGGGCTGACACTATTGCTGTCTGGGATATTAGGCTGCTGTCACGTTAATACCTAATGCACAGATACAACGCACATCCGATTTCTTTCCCAACTCTTTACGTTAACTGACTGTGTCTATGTGAATAATCGGCAAGACAACCATTTTGACATATTTTTGTGTCTATTTGATGTTTAAGTGCAATATGCCGCGAAATAATTGAATTTGGGATTGCATGATGTATGAAAGTGGCTTTCTCTGAGCGCGCTTGTGTCAATCATAGCGAGTACATCACTTAAAAAAATACTAGTTTTTAGCTTGAGCTCCGCGTTTTCAGAAAGCATGTGCGAGACACTGCAAAAGACACAAAAGTCATAGACGTCTGTCTTGTTCGTTTTAAATAGAAAAACAATGGAAAATCTGCAAAAATGCGTTCTGTGCAAACGACCCCTAAATAATTTTAACATCAAGCACTTCTTGCTCTTTATTTTCTCCTTCAAGCATTAGTGGTGCAACGGATCATCATTGATCCGTGATCCGTTCGGATCAATATCTTCGGTTCGGCACACACGTGATCCGCGGATTGATTTATGAAAAAAAAAAAATGTAGGTGTGTGTGTGTGTGCGCGCGCGTGCGTGTGTCCTAAGCATGTTTAGTCCACACACATCTCCACAGCGTGGTCATGGCGATAGGAGGACGTGAGCTTGAACGCCCCGCGTCATTTAAATCCCCATATATGGGAGCATTTTGGCTTCCCTGTCAAATATAATGATGAAGGAAAGAGGTTAGTGGATAAAACCGTGACGGTGTGTGTAGTAGGGTGGCCATACGTCCGGATTTTGGCCGGACAGTCCGGAGCTGCGCTGAATTGACCTAAAAAAATTAACTTATAAAAATCCCGCATATCGATAGCGGCTCCCTGATGCCAGCAAATTAGTTAAAATCTCCCGGAATCTAGAGCGCGCGTGCGAGACGGAACATACTGCGCGCATAAACATACGACGCGAACGGCAGAGAGGGAGAGAGCGAGAGACCTTGTTGCGTGTGTGCGCATGTAAGACAGAGAGCATCCTGATTGGCCTGTTTCGGTAACTCAACCAGTCAACCCCCCTAATATCTCTAAAAAATACGATATTATGCCTTGTGCACTTTAAGTTGATTTTATATATTTTAATTTAATAATTTAAAAGTGTTAATAAGACAAATAAACATAAGTTTAGTCTTTTTGTCTTTTTTGCTGATCCGAAAAATGATCCGATCCGTGACTCTGATCCGAGAAACAATCCGAACCGTGAGTTTTTTGATCCGTTGCACCCCTATCAAGCATGTTTCTTTATCCCTTTAAACGCCGATTAACACCAAGAACGATAAATATGATAAGTTTTAATAATCATTCTAATTCGAGAATAGAGAAGTCCACATGTAGTGGCAGAAAATGTTACTTCAGCGCACACTTATAATAAACAGAACAGAGATTATAGCCATCATTTTTGTGAATGAGCTGTAAGCATAGATAGCCTATGTTTACAATATACACAATATAGCAAAATCTCTGTGGATGGACCCTTTATATTGTATTCACGATGTATATCATCATTCTGCCCAGCCCTAGTCTGAGGAATCTTTCACATCTACAGCTAGGTTTGGGAATGGAACGGTTTAAAAACAAAGTGGTATTTCCACATACAGAAAATGATCTACGTCACAAGAGTTTTCCTTGAGGTCAAGGAGTTTATACACAACAGGCAGAAAGTTCATGGTGGCCTGGTTTGCCGTTCGCATGGCAGAAATCCCCTCAAAGAGTCGAGTTAAGTGGAGCAGCAGCTTAAAATAACGCTCAGTTCAACTCAGGCAGCACAACTGCACAGGGTGTCCATTACACGGACCATCAAGAGCTAAAATTCATCCGGATCACCGCAAGACATGTAGAACAAACAAAACAAAAATTAGTTTTCACCTCAGGTGCATGAAAATACTATAGTACACACCTTTACAAGCTCCATGACCAGATAGAGTTCACTGTAAGTGTCCATTTCCTCAATCAGCAGCACAATGTTTGGATGTTTCACTCTTCTTAGGATAGCCACCTCATTCTGGATCATATGCTCCTGTGCAGGAGAAAAATTCAGAATAAACATATATTGTATAAATCATCATAAAAAATAGAAATATAAGCATTTTATTGACAATATCATAATGATATCTTTCACATCTCACCTTCCCTCTGCATTTGCCTTTGTTGATGATCTTCAGAGCGTACGCCCTGCTAGTCGAGTGCTCCACACATTCATGGACCACCGCAAAATTCCCGTCTCCGATCATTCGTCCGACTTTGTACCGATCTGAAATGGAGCTTGGGACTGTGGGTATCGGCGTCTCCTCCAAGGGCTCGGCTGCAGACGGTAAGGAAGAAAATTAGAGCAAGACTGAGTGGGCCTCATTCAGAATCTGTTTTGATGACTGAAATCTCTGTAGGCAGTGGAAGCATTTGATTCCCGACCAACATTCCTAGTCTGAGAATCTCTTTGAATACAGCTCAAAAAACAAGACGATAAACATGTATTTGGTTCACACCTCATGTGTCTTTCATTAGTGTGTTACAGTCGGCTAACACTGTGTACATTGAAGCGGAAATGATTGTATAATGAACACCTATGCAAAGCCTTCAAATGTTGACCTTCATTGCAGACAAACACTGAGCAACTATAAAGCTTTCATTAGTAAAGGGCCTTCTCATTAATAAATTCATCAACCTGCCATATCTGCATAAGATCACAGTTCTTGAACAGCATAAATCTACTGTAGACCTTGATCTCTTTGAAAGGAAGTCTGAATACATTTATATTTCATGGATGCTTAACAGTCACTCCAAACCTAGAGATGCTATTGTTAACTAAAGCTGAAACTATACAAAAAATCGTTTATTGCTAAAGCTGAAATAAAATGATTTATTTATTTAGTTAGTAGCCAAGGCAAAATTAAAAATATTTGTTTATATTTTTAGTTTATATTTTTTTAGATTGAAGTCCTAACATTCCAAAACTAAAACTGAAATAAAAATAATTTAAAGCTAAATAGAAATATATATATATATTTTAAACTATGGTAAATAATAAAAATGACAAAAGCACACGTCAAAATGACTCAAATTTAAACGACAAAATATAAAAATATAATTACAAATTAAAAAAATACTATAGTAGTATATAAATAATACTAAAATAATACTGTCTAAAAACCAGCTTCGCTTGATCTCTTACCATCGCTCACAGAACCTTCCTCCTCATCCATACTGCAGACTTTGGTAGAGGCCAGAGACACAGAGGAACCGCTGTGCTGGGATCCCTGTGAGGAAGAGAACATCCAATTAAACCAGAAACCACTAGCATGCACGATATTGTTATGGTGGGCACTTCAAAATGAATAATTATTTATTACGAATTATTCCGATTTTTAGAATTTAACAACCGTTAAAATGCACAACACCGCTGTATGCGCGAGCAGTCTGATGTATACAAGCCCAGCAAGCATGAGCAGCATGGCGGAATGAATGAAGATTAGGCCTACGTGCTGAATCAAAATGCACATTCACTCTCTGACATTAGATAGCCCTGATCGAACAGCAGAAATGCAGTCGTTACCCCGGTAACCCCATAAACAAAGCAGCAGCGCTACTTTCTGTTTCTGAACAGTATTTAAAAGTTTCAAACAGCCATTCAGATGTTTGTATTTGCAGTGGTGTTCATCATTCACATCACCAAATAATTAAAGACTAGGCTATTTAATTTCAAACTTAAACAATTTTATATTTTTATTTATATTTAATAATACATTATTAAAATCAAAAGTTTTAGCTGTATTATTTAATGGACCTAAATGATCTAACAATGATCAAATGTATTTGTTGGTAACACTTTATTTTACACCGTTATTGTTACACGCGGTTCCTTTAGTAATAACTATAAATTATGCATAATTACATGCAACTAACCCTGAACCAAACCAAACCAAACCCTAATCCTAACCCTATAGTAAGTATATAGTTACTTAATAATGCTCAGTATTTAAATGTATAATTACAGTGTAACAAATATATCTTAAAATAAAGTGTAATCATTTTTAACTAAGGTTAACAAATAATAATAACTAACAAATATAGCTATTGCTCATTGTTAATGTTAGTTAATGTATTAACTGACATTAACTAATGAGACCTTATTGTAAAGTGATATCTATTGTTCTGTATAAGTCTTTTGCACTTGAATCTGTTTGAAACATTTGTTTACTTTAAACATTTTGTGTATAGCTTTATTGTATTTGTTCCGAGTTATTTTTGTTATAAGAAAAAAGTTATTAAAACTGTTATAGTATGACAACATTTTTTTGCAACTTTTTACAATAGAGGGAATGCATTAACGTCACTTCCCGGCCGGAACACGCCCCCCTCAGCGGGACTGAGTGGCAGAAGAGCTGCTGCGTGACTGGAGTTAATAGGGGAAACTGCGTTAACGCGAGTAAAACAAACTATTATCAGTTTAAACTAAAAGTTGGACTCGATATAGTGTTCCTTACAACTTATCAAAGATCCAGTGATCCATGGATATTGACATGCAGCCAGGAATCGTGTTTCCTGACATTTATATGTGCCTGATTTCGACGCCGGGGAAATAAATGAAGACAATTTGCCTGTAAACGTTTTATATAAATACAATATAGATAGGTCTAAATCCGAGTGATCACTTACATTAATGTTATACTGTATATCATCATATCGTACAGCCCTAAAACTTGTATAGTTTTTTGTCAGTGTTTATTTAAAAACATCCAATTATGCAGAATATAGTCTGGTCTGTAGCTTTTTGCAGTCTGTAAAAATATACAGTACCTCAGATTTCTGGTCAAATCTAGTTGTACAGTCAATCGCAAAGCTCTTTCCCGTTTTAGATGTGTTATGTGTGATTTTCACGGCATTCACGCCGCTCAGTCTTTTTGCCACTTGTGGGCGTGACCGCATTTACTCCGGCCGACGGTGACGTCATGCGCATACCCTCTATATCGTGATAATGCGGTATACCGTGGTAAAAGCTTCAGCAATTATCGCAACATGAAAATTTGATGCCGTCACATGGCCACCAGCAGTATATGGTCTGTGTGTGTGTGTGAGAGAGAGAGAGAGAGAGAGAGAGAGAGAGAGAGAGAGAGAGAGAGAGAGAGAGAGAGAGAGAGAGAGAGAGAGAGAGAGAGAGAGAGAGAGAGAGAGAGAGAGAGAGAGAGAGAGAGAGAGAGAGAGAACAATAACTCCAAAAAAAACACCTAACTTTAAAAATACTGAAAAGGATAAACCGCTCCCTGGGTATTTCGCTCACTTTCTACCTGTGCTGGATATCCTAAAGCTGCCGCATGTGCTATTCCCGTCAGGACGGTCGGCACGCTCGGGACACAATCCTCTCATTCTCACTTTTAAACACAGCAGCAAACAGTTAGCACATCAGTGTTTCTTTGCTAGTTTCCATGGAAGCACAAGTGTGAGCGGAGTTACTGGCTGTGCTGTAAATTGGTTTTCGCTCCCGGTTGCCGCCAGTCAGGGTGCAGGGACCCTTTCAAGTCCGCGCGGAGAGTAATTGGAAGTATGTCTCCGGGAGCACCGCGCTTTCCTGGCTGTTGGGCGAACTCAAATGGATTTGATTGGACGGTTGCGGCGTGCGACTGCGGCCCCGGTCGCACCTCAGGGACGGCGGCGGTGTATTGCTGCTAATGGCGAGAACGAAGCGCAAATATGCCGAGACGAAACAGTGGATGGGTCAGGGAGGGTCAGCACTCCTACAGTACACACACTGCTTGATAATGTCAGTTTGAGTGGATGCATATGAGACGGGCGAGGCTGGGCTGTTTATCAGAAAGTGTCATCAGAAAGAGCTTGACTCGAGAGAGTGAGTGTGTGTGCGCGCGCGTGTTTCCGCATCCTTTTTCTATTTCATTCAGATCACAGTTTGTCCTGGCGCTGTCAAAACTCTTGTTACCATGGAAACTGTTGGAGTGTACTAATAATATTTTCCCTCTGCGAGACAGGAAGCAGCCAGAGACTAGCCCATATAAGGCATCTTCCTGTTTCCTGGCTGAATGCTAGGTCAAATCAGACTTTCACAGAATTTCTCTGGAGCAAAACCAAACAAAATAAACCTTTTTTGTGTGTGTATTTGCCTCTCATTTAATTTAATGATCTGAATCCACTGATCAATATTACGTTATGTTAAATCAATGTGCATAAGCAAATGTAAGTAGGCCTACTCGGTTGTATAATCTGTTATTCAGCATATGTGCAATTATGATGCTCATAACACAAATTTACCTCAATGATCCCTAATTTAGTGTTGCAGTAACGCTATCAGACCATTCTTTATAAGTGAAACAATTAACAGGCTCAGTATCAATAACAATGACGCATTATTACATTTATGGTCACTCTTGACATTTTGCTGCAGACTAATTACATAATGGCTTGAACGGCTGATTTAATGTCTGAGATGATTTTGTTTCGTGGAGATGGTGATGCAATAGGGAAATTTAATCCAATGTTTTCATCAGGATCGCTGCTACTCATTCCCTCTCTCTGGAGTCTCTGAGGTTTTGCTTCTTAGCTGCAACTCTATTAAGACCAAAGTGAGAAAATCTCACAAGAGTCCCTTCAAGACATTTGGTAACTACACCTGTAATCTAACTAACTCTGTGACCGACTGCATTCATTTGTTTTTTAAACGCAGGACCATCATTAAAGCGATTGTGCAGTACAAAAGTAAAATTGGTTTGGGATCCGCAAAGTCTGGGATAAATAAAATGTGATTAAAGCAACTCTGAGCCAAACTGTCCCAAATAAACAGAAGAGGACCGAAATGATTTTGTAAAGAACTCGTACTAGATAAAGAGACTCACTGTTTAATGTATTTAGCATCTTCAATCATACGTACATGATGGAATGGTTTCATGGCATGCTTTATGGATAAAAAAAATTAAGTCTAGATAACACATTAAAAACAATGACCAGAAAATGACATGCCTTATACACATAAAAAAAACTCTAAGAATTAGATTACGATACAAAACTAATAGAAAAACAAAGATAACTGCTTGATTGACAATAAAGCAAAGATATACAGGACATTTTAACTGAGCAGAGTCAAAAACAATAAGGTACAACAAACAGAAAAAAACTATGAGAACCAATGGAACACAAGAGGACAGAAAACTACAGCACAGACAGAGAAAAAGAACTGGTCATATTTACATGGTATCAGACAGAAAACAAGGTGTCTATTTTCTGAAATTAATATGAAGTCACCAGTTAAAGGAATGGCTCACTCAAAAATGAAAACACTTGACTTGAGATATCAATGTTTATGGAATGAATGAAAACACATGCACACTTACACACACAATGTAATTTAAACATCAAAAATGAAAAATAAATAAATAAAATAAATACAGGTGTGAAAACACCAAAGGAAAATGTGAGGAGCATGCAACCCAACAGACAGATTGAGGAACATCATCATTACATAGAGATGATGAAGAATGTGTTTTTATGAAAATTTGAATTGAATTGGCCACGCCCACAGGATGTGGAACTGCAATGACGAGAACAGGAATACTTTATCCATCACAACAACAAAATGGGAAAGAAGGAATTCTGCATCCTGTTTGCGACCTCAAATCTGAACAGATGCGTTCTCAATTCAATCCTGAACAGCACTCAACTCTGATAGAGACAGGTGTGATTTTGAGAATGATGCTGAGCTTGATGGCCTCACTTTTCATGTTACGCAACAGAAAACACACAGCCTACCTAGTTAACCAACCAACAAAATGTCCATTTAATCTCACAGCTATGATACAAATGAAATTGTAACCTCATTTATCTCGATTAAACCTTGTTTACCCAGACTGAGATGGATTAGTACACGTTGAAAGGGTTCGTTGCTGTTTTAGATGTGTTTTGACATTGATTAAAAATATATTTGTCGCCATAGCATCAAATGCGCATGTGTTCCATATTCTTCCCCAGAGAAACTGAGGGTACATGGAAAAAAGAGAGACGAAGAAGGGGATATGCCTAAGGATACAGAGGCCACACACACACACACATACAGTATATATTCCCAGTATATATCCTCCACTCTGTGTGCCTCATTTCTGAAAGTGGGTCATGCGTTGAATGCAATCACACAGCCCAGGCTTGAGCGGTAAAGCCAATTAATAATAAATCAGTAGTAATGATCAGTGTTTAAATCATTCAAGTGGAAGCAGTAAGGTCATTTAAAACTGTAGCATAAGCAATCAGAGAAGTTTATAATGGGTAATCTTTGGATTTTCAGGAGAATGGATTGCTAGCGGAGAACTGCTGTAATTACACACATTAGCAATGTATTTGCGTACACTGCAAACTAATTGACTAACCAAACCACAAAGCAGCAATAACAACATTCGGAGACTCATATAAATTCATAAGCCAGATAAAGAAGTGTCTGCTTCTTCTGAGCCTTTTAGGAGAGAACATTCAGTTCTTTTGCATTTGTATCATATTTATGTAAATGTTTTTTCTCCCTCCTTCATTCACAAAACTCCACTGGGGGGTTTTCAAAGCCTGACCCACTTATGCAGGAGATGGTTGTAAAGATGCTGAGATGCGTCTCTGCTTTGGGCAGATCTGACTGTCCCAAATTCTCATTCTGCAACAGCAATGAGCTGAGAGCAAAGCCATCTGACAGAATCAAACCGCAGAGAGATCATCCAACTTCGAGAGCTCAGGCTGCGGTGCAAGATAAGTGAAAAGTATGAAGAGAATGTGAGAGTCTTTCCTAGCGGGTGGAGGGCGAACACAAAGTGCTCAGAGTCGCTGTCTCTCTGCCGGCACGTCGACTCAATCACTAAATCATTAAAAGTCAGACTCTTCCACAAGAGGAAGTTTAGCCAATCCTAATGCAATCTGGAACAATTTCGAATATAAAAAGTTGAACATATCTGTACTTGCTCTTAAAGGTGCAGCCAATAATTTGCTTATTTATGTCGGTGAGGATGCAATGTCATGCATTTCAGGAAAGAAATAAGCACATGCTGCACATTTAATGTAAATAATTCGTTTTTCTATGAGACACCATCAGAACCTTTTTTAAGGTCAGAGTAAAGCTCCAGTTTGATCGTGGCTACTGGCTAACAGTTTCTGATTAATCTATATACTGGGTCAATATCAGCATGTGAATTCACTGGCTCTACACAGAACTTTAACTGCCTGCAGCTGGATATGAAGTGACCCAAAAGCTCAACATACTGTAGTGAACATTTGGATGCTGTAGTGCATCTTAGTCATGGAGAGCGAAGGAGGAGGAGTAGACAGACACTCAGGAAGAATAGAAGACAGAGAGACTCTTAAGAGAGAGACAGTCAGAGTAATCACTAGTGTTTAAGGCTCATGTTATTACCTGAGAGAAACTCAGGACTGGAAAGGAGAAGTTTCTACTGCATTAAACCTCTTTGCATTAGTCTATGAAACGCACTTGCACAAACTCTTCCCACTCACACACAAAACGGCCTCTGAAACCCAATGGTAATGTGTTTCTTGGTGAAAAAAATGAACTGGTGAGTTGCATGTTCCTTCAACAGCATGTATTATGCAATTTCTCTTTCTCCACCATACAGTCCCAATCAGGGTCCAAAACTCGCACTCGCCAAGCACCAAATGTGAGTAAAATTGGTTTTGGTCAGTAAATAAAACATTATTCGCCAATTGACAGGTAATATTATTAGAAAACGCAGTATTTTACATGATTTGAAACAAATTGTCGTAACTAGTTATATTCTCACTAATGTAAGTGATCCGACCGATTCAATCAATTAAAAACTTGTACTTGAGTGAAAAATGCAGGAAACATGTTTTTTTTCTGCAGAACTTCATGTGGTGACACTTATCAGAGAAATTTCTCACATTAAAAAAAATGAAAATATTAAATTAAAAACAAAATCACACATTTATTTTTTATAGGTGCCACTCTATCCAAAGATGATTTGTTTAGGGATGCGAATGTGGGAAAGTATATCATTTCGCTTGTCAAACTGCTAGGGGAAAAAATGCTAAAAACCTAAATACAATATACTTTTTAAATAGAAATCATGAAAAATACAGCTTTGTGGCGGGTAAGAAATATTGGTATTAGGGGGAAATTGCTAAAAACCTCAATTAAATATATTTTTAAATAGAAATCATGAAAAATACAGCTTCATGGCAGGTAAGAAATATTGAATCGCTCGCATCACTTACATCAGTGAGAATATGACTATAGTTCATACAATTTGTTTCAAATCATGTAATATACTGCGGTGTTAGTGGTATTAATGGTCAATTTTCTCAAATACTCGCCATTGGCAGACAATGGCAAAAGTTAATTTTGGATCCTGGACTTGATGATTCCTGCTCTCCTACAAGCAGAAGTCATTCTCCATGGATGATTCTAGTGGACTTTCACACTCAAAGTCCAGTAAAGACAGAAATAGCACATAAAATCTCCAAAAGTGGTGGCCCAGATTAAGGATTGACTGGATCTTAGCACCACTTTGAAGAAGTGGGGAAGTTAAGCTGTGCTGTCAATGAGGGCCTTGTCCATTTCCTGAGAACATAGAAGGAGCGTGTTATATAGTGCCCGGGATGGTGGCGGATGGCAAAAGGATGTTCTATCTAAGTGGAGAAGGATCTGTGGCTGGTTGCATAAACTGCTTAGACTACAAGTTAGTCATCTAATTTTTTCTTCAAGACTGGTCATAACTTTTTTAAGTCAGTTACATAAAAAGGTAAATTGGTTTCATTTGAATTTGAAAAGTAAGACTGGTTAGCCGTAATAAACTGCTACTGTATGTTTATAGTTCTTAAGACACAGTTTTAAGTTAGTGGCTATGTTTATGCAACTGGCCCCTAAACACTCAAATCACGCCATATACTGGGTAAAAACTTTATAAAGGACACGATTTAACACAGTAGAATTGGGTTTAGATGATAGATGATATCAAATCCATGAGATGGAAAGCAGAAGATCTGAGGATCATCTTTATGAGCTAATGTAAAAACATGGTGTGTGTGTGTGTATTATGGTGATTGAAGAGGGAATATTGTCTTACCTTGCGTTTCTTCAAGCTCCCCGGGCTGGTGGGAGACGGACTTGGTGACTTTGCAGAATGGGGTGTGGACAGCTGACTGGCTGGGGTCCCATTCACTACAAGGGGAAAGAGGAAAATGCTTGAGTTCACAAAAAAAAAAAAGAAGAAAAAAAAGTTTGTGAATGAAGCTCAGCAAATATTCCAAGCGCCCCAGGAGGCTGCCAGCGCTCTTATATTCAAAAAGTGAGATCTTAAAAAGCCTGTCTGTGAGTAAGAAGAGAAGAAATCACCCACACAGCTGCTCCTGCTTCCCACATTCGCATCCCTAAACAAATCATCTTTGGATAGAGTGCCACACACCCAGTGGCACAAATCCTTACACACTCACATCTTCCAAGGCCCATCAGTCATGGTATGACTGCACGACAGGCCACTGAGAAGATCCAAACTCTCAGTCAACACCAAGCTGCTTCATATTCACAGGCCACTGCCTCTATTTGCTGACACAGATTAGGAAGCATCCCTTGCCAGTTTAACAATCTTGTTACAATGTCACCAGGACATAAAAACATCCTTTGTCAAAACAGTGATTTATACAGACCATCAAAATTGAAATGGGTAGCAAAAATAAATATATATTTTTAAATGCAACATATTCTTTCTTATTCACTTTTAAATTTGAATAAAAGCAGAAGCTATGAGCGTATGGATAAATGGAAAAGGTCAAAGCTTAGTGAAGGTATAACAGAAATAAACCAATGTATTTGCATGCAATGAATTTTTAAATACATAAAAATGATAAAATATTAATCATGAACTAGGCCAAACTAATTATGTCAGGTGCTACTGTCAAAAATGTGTAATTTAATATTTATTAACACCATATAAAACATACACATATATGCTTCCAATGTTACTTGCTGTTCAAATGCTGAAAATGACAAGAGGGTTGACATAAACATTCAAAATTCTCATTCATTTACAGTCCAGTGATAAATTGTAGATTTCCAAACTATTTTATTTATAGCAGACAAATAGCTATGGGAATAGCCTATCATATCAAGTTTGAGAGACATAGCGTAAAAACAAACTCGGTTAAAACGTTTAAATAAAATGTGCATCAACACTATACTCGGCCGCCCCTATAGACTAATTCAATCAGAAATCAATAACATACTGATTCACATGTTTACATTTCAAATAAGAATCATTCTGGCTCTGGCATCAAACCCAGCTGAATAAACATCACTTTCAATCGCCGTCATGAAAAGTAAAAGCCAGTTTCCGCAAAAGAGCACTGAATCCGCCTCTCCTACCTTCGTATTGCAGCATCTTGAGACACAGTGCTATTCCAGGTGGCAGAAAGCAGCAGCACTCGCTGAGCGCGGATTCCAATGAATGGAGCAGCGGAGAGCAGAGCGGAGTACAGCGCGTGAGCCGCTGATCGCTCATTGGCTCGCAGCCTGCTTGCGTGGCTGTGACGCGCGCCTGAGCCAGTGCAGTACGGTAAGTGGGAGGCGCGCGGGCTGAGGTAATGGTGGAAACGCGCCGAATCTTCTCATCGACAGACCTTTAATGGCACTCGAACCACGGCCAGATACAAACATAAACACTACCGTATTTTAACATGAAATAGTAATTTCTTAGGTCTCGCTCATTATGTGTAGTGAAAACAATGTCAAATGACCAAATCACTTTAATGAACTTACTTAAAATGTGGCGTTATTTAATTGGTTAATAGTAGCCTATTTGATCTCAGGTATTTAGCCTATTCATTTTTGTATTATTTGTTTTCAGGCATTTATATGATTATTTAGCTATTGATTCATTTATTTCGTTTTTGAATAACACAAGGTGGCAAGTGAATATTAAGATGTTTTAAAAAGCTTCTTTATAAAAGCACTTTGTCAACATGACCCTTTGTGATCTATGTGGTGTTTACAGGAACGACACAAAGATCAATTATAGCTTGTTAGATGTCAATACTTTCAGCGTTCAGGCTATTATTATTGAAAGTGATTAGTTCTAAATGGCTTCCTGCCAAAAACAAAAATACTGAACTGAATAGTTTTTTTAATGGACAAAGTTCTCTTTGAAATGCATGCATACAGATTTTGCTGTACTTGTGAGGTTAAAATTTTGGCAATTTTCCTTATAAATATGGTGAAATATGTCCAAAATAAACTTGTGAAGACATTTTAAGAGGTCTGTCACTATTTAAAAGGCTCAAAAACATTCAAATCATATTTTTCCTTTGAATATCAAAAGATTTGTATGAAGGCCAAATTTTCACCTCAATATAAATACCACTTCATCTGTCTTCACTAATATGTAAAACTAATGTGTGTGTGTGTGTGTGTGTGCGTGTGTGTGTGTGTGTGTGTGTGTGTGTGTGTGTGTGTGTGTGTGTGTGTGTGTGTGTGTGTGTGTGTCAGACTGGGTGGAAGAAGTACACTCATTAGCACAATCTGTGGTGCTTCATTAATTTGATGCGAATTAATGATGCATCACTGTTTCATTTTCGGGTTAGTTCTCCAACACGTTCTCAAAGTTCCCTGTCAGAAATGGAAACAAGCTGTCCCACCCCCTGAGACAAGGGTTTCCAAATATCCTTAAAACCCTTTAAGGGGGGGGGGGGGGTATTGAAGGTATTGAAGACTGGACTGGATTGGGGACCAAGTATCAGTTTAAGAATAACTGATTCTGATAAATGTTCCTCATTTTATCACACCATGAATAATAATGAATGTTTTCGTTGTGAGCGTAAGGTTTGACAGCTCAAATGTACATCCATTTTCATGACTGAAAGTAATCAAATATCCCGTTCATAACCCAACCTGAGGTCGAATCTATTCCCCCCTTCCAGCACTCCCCCATAAATACACAAACATAAACGATGGACCTAGGATGTTACAGCATTGCAGGAGACTGCTGGGAGAATGCCCATAGTTTATGTATGGGATATGAGTCCAGCAGGGTTTATAATACAAATATAAATTTAGACACTGAAAAGAGAGAAATGACTCTGAGTTTGCTCTTGTGTAACATGCTCAGCTGTGGGAGGATGGATCCAGTGATGTGACCTCTCTCCTCTCTCTTTCACTCTCTCTCTCTCTGCTGTTTACTTCTCTCTTTTTCACACCAGGTGCAGTTTGATCCCCTGTTTGCATCTGACCCTTTGTCCATAATTCAAAGCGAGGATATGATCCAAAGGGGACCGTAAAAGAGTGTCCTCCCCTGACATACCCCTGACCTGATCTAACACTCCCACTACAGCTCAACAGAAATAACTTCTGTCTGAATATGAAATGACTTACGATCTGTCACAGAAGACATGATTATGTTTTAGGGCTTTTAATTGATTACAACTTTTTTATTAAATTCATCACACAAATATGAGCAGAGAAAAGCCTGAAGGGCAGTTCAAAAGACATTACATAATTGGCGCAGATGAGTAAATCTTTGAATGGACATTACAAAAAAAGTGGCTTTAGAAATCAATATGAGACGTTCAAAAAATGAGAAATGATAGTGGAAATATAAAAAAATAAAGTAAAGTATTTACATGGCATAAGAACGAACATATTATAAGTTTACACACAAATTATGCAATACACTATATATAAACACACTACTGCATTATTAAAGTATACAGAGCATCCAGATAGTGGTTCTGTCTGTCTTCTGCGGCGCTCTGCTCTGAGTACATTCACGAAAGCGCATCTGTCTCACAGTGGATATCATTTTTAATGAAATTTCTATTTATGGTGCATCTATGTGATATGCACAACAGGCTTTCAGAGAGGAGCAAGACAAAGTGGACCAGGATACAGTAATATCAGTTCCTATGCAATAAGGGCTATGAAAAAAAATTATTCCATCACCAACATACAAACAAACATGACTTTTCATACGCTTTTATTGCAGACAAACAGTGATGCAGACAGATAGCTGATAATTAGTTTTATGTTACAGTCAATATTATACATTCGTATAGACTTTTTCTTTTCAAATAGCATTCCCATTGTAGACTCCAATAATTGACATGATTCTAGTGAAATTACAACATATATAGATAACAAAAAGATAGATAACAGGGTTTAGGGTTTCTTATCTGTTTCCTCATCTGTTGGATAATTTGAAAAAAAATTATGCAAATATCGGCCAATTTATTTGATATATTGTGCATCTCTATAATTAATATAAAAGTCAAAACAACATTCACAAATCATTGTACTTTCGTAAGGAAATATATTTTTGAGCAAAACAGGGAGACTTGGACTCAAAGACTTGAGACTTGAATTGGACTCAAAGACTTGAGACTTGACTTGGACTCAAAGACTTGACTTGAACTCAAAGACTTGAGACTTGACTTGGATTCAAAGACTTGAGACTTGACTTGGACTCAAAGACTTGAGACTTGACTTGGACTCAAAGACTTGAGACTTGACTTGGATTTGTACCCCAAAGACTTGAGACTTGACTTGGACTTGTACCCCAAAGACGTGAGACTTGACTTGGATCTGGACCTCAAAGACTTAAGACTTGAATTGGACTCAATGACTTGAGACTTGACTTGGACTTGTACCCCAAAGACTTTAGACTTGACTTGGACTCAAAGACTTGAGACTTGACTTGTACCGTAACCCCAAAGACTTGATACTTGACTTGGACTCAAAGACTTGAGACTTGACTTGGACTTGTACCCCAATAACTTGAGACTTGACTTGGACTCAAAGACTTGAGACTTGACTTGGACTTGTACCCCAATAACTTGAGACTTGACTTGGACTCAAAGACTTGAGACTTGACTTGGACTTGTACCCCAATAACTTGAGACTTGACTTGGACTCAAAGACTTGAGACTTGACTTGGACTTGTACCCCAATAACTTGAGACTTGACTTGGACTCAAAGACTTGAGACTTGACTTGGACTAAAATACTTGAGACTTGACTTGTACCCCAAAGACTTGAGACTTGACTTGGACCTGGACCTCAAAGACTTGAGACTTGACTTGGACTTGTACCCCAAAGACTTTAGACTTGACTTGGACTCAAAGACTTGAGACTTGACTTGGATTTGTACCCCAAAGACTTGAGACTTGATTTGGACCT